GCTATTTTCCTGGCTCTTGTTTCTTGGTGGTATGAGGTCCCCGTCTCTCTGCTCACTTCTCTCTCTTTTTATTGTTGTAATTTAAGTGATAGTTTACATTTTAAGTAGTCTCTTATACAAAAATTCATACATAGTTATGTGACCCTAATTACTCTCCTTATACTGTTTACTAGTATTTTGTAGAGAATTTTTACATCTATATTCATAAGGGGTATTGATCTGTATGTAGCTTTCTTCTTGCGTCTGTCTGACTTTGGTAATGGGGTAATGCTGGATTCATAGAAAGAGTTAAGGAGTATTCCTTTCCCCTCTACATTCTGGAATTGTTTGAATAGGATTAGTGTCAATTCTTCTCTAAATGTTTGGTAGAATTCCCCAGTGAAGCCATAAGGTCCAGGGCTTTTGTTGTTGCTGGAAGACTTTTGGTTACTGATTCAATCTCTTCACTTCTTATGGGTCTGTTGAGATTTTTTGCTTCCTCTTGAGTCAGTTTAGGTAGGTTGTATGCATCCAAGAAAATGTCTATTTCATCTAAGTTATCAAGTTTGTTGGTGTACATTTGTTCTTAGTATTCTGATTCTTTTTATTTCTGTTGGGTCAGTTGTAATGTTTCCACTTTAATTTCTTATTTTGGTTATTTGCATCTTTTCTCTTTTTTTCGTTGTCAGTCTAGCTAAAGATTTGTCAATTTTATTTGATCTTTTCAAAGATTTAGCTTCTGGTTTTGTTGATTCTATTGTTTTTCTATTTCATTTATTTATGCTCTATTCTTTGTTATTTCCTTTCTTCTGGTAGCTTTAGCCTTAGTTTGATTTTCTTTTTCTAGTTTCTCAAGTTGTAGAGGTAGACTATTAATTTAAGACCTTTCTTCTCTTTTAATGTAGGCATTTGTTGCTATAAATTTCCCTCTGAAGACCGCCTTCACTGCATTCTATAGGTTTTGGTATGTTGTGTTTTCATTTTCATTCAACTCCAAGTATTTTTTTCACATTTATTTCTTAATTTCTTCCTTGAGGTATTGTTTAGTAATGTGTTGTTTAATTTCCAAGTATTTGTCTGTTTGCCAGTTTTCCTTCTGGTATTAACTTGTACTATTATTCCCTTATAGTCAGAGAAGATACTTCGTATAATTTCAATTTAATTTAACTCATTGAGACTTGTTTTGTGACCTAGCATATATATATATATAGTCAATTCTGGAGAATGATCTATGTGCACTGGAGAAAAATGTATATTGTTCAGTTGTTGGATGAAGCGTTCTATATATGTCTTTCAGGTCTAATTGGTCCATCTATTCTACCATAGCAATTATCACATTGTGACATCACTTTACTTTTTGTTTACTTTAATAGATCTTGAGTTCTATAGTAGTATAGAATATGTTTTTCTATCTTTCTAGTCCCAGCACATAGCAGCAGTGCCTGGTATACAGTAGACACTCAATACATGAATAAATGGAAGATTACTGGTTTGTGAGAATCCTTAGTAATGGCACACAGATATGCTATAAATAATTGGAAGACCTGTCTTAATGATAGCCCCATAAACTAGATATTACGAACCAGAATCACTATGGGTGACCCCTTATGACCGCCCCAGAGCATGGATTTATAATGAAGAGGGCCTGCCTGCACAGAGAACTTTCTGTAACTGTCATAGATAGATATTCTGGAGGGGTCCTCACAACCACTGTAACTTGTATTCTACAAGGAAAAATGATGAATGCCTTAAAAATAGTTTTTTTCCCTCAGGGATTCATCACTAAAGTGAAAATGTATGCCACAAATCTCTAATATTAAAAGCCAGTGTTTAAAGATATGTATGTTCAGCTATTTAATGTTTTGTCAATGAATAAATATATGGAATTAAATTTATAAAATTATAAAAAAATTCAATTTCAACTTTTTCTGAAATTATCAACTTAATAATAGTGCTAATAAGAATAATTACTTTCTTCAGGTCAGCTTTTGAGCTCTCAGTGCATTATACCATTTAGCACAGTCTCTCAAAGTAGGCATTAATATTATCCCCAATTTAAAGACAAGGAAACCGAAACCTAATTAGATACTTTGTCTAAGGTCATTTATATTGTTCTATCCACTGTTTTTTCTTTTGAAAGTATTTCCATTACCATTGTAGGTGATGAAAGTTTGAAACAGTGTTGGCAGCTGCAATAAAAAAGAAAATCTGTGTCGCAATTAGTTTTTGCAGTTAATTACATTTTGTAGAATGAAATAATTCTCCACTTTAGGATTACTATAATTTTACCTCAAGACTTTTCTTTATTTTTTCAAGATATATGTTACAATTTTTCAGAATTTCAAGGATTCCTGCAGAGGTGGTTATTTGCAAAGCATCCAGTTTGTTTTGTATTTTTGACATTACATCTTTCCACATGGAAATCACCTTAGAGAAAAGCTTTGTTTCTGCTGGAAGCTGCCTTTAGAAATAAAATTAGAGACAATCATATTTTTCAGGGACACTATAATTAAAATCAATATTTTAAATTCATTTGTCACAGTTTTCATGTTATACGGTTTTTCATATTGTATTTATATGTAATTTATAATATATTTTGATGTTATTATATTTTTGATGATATATCATTAGTAAAGATATTTTTGAGTGCTTATTATGTACAAAAGGGGCCCTGGTGGTGCAGTGGTTAAGGTAATTCTCCATGGGAGAAAGATGGGGCAGTCTGCTTCCATAGAGATTTACAGCCTTGGAAACCCTACAGGGTCGCTATGAGTTAGAATCAACTCAATGGCAGTGGGTTGGGTTTGGTTGGTTATGTACAAGTGTTATACATGGCAGAAAATACTATGATAAATTAGATATACAACCAGCATCTTATACAAGGTGTCAGAGAATGGTACAATATAATAAGGTCTTACAAGATCTTATACATCTTATATGAGGTATAAGGTAGTTACATACAAGTTCTACATATTATAAAGTAGGTAGAAAATGATTTGTTCCTAAGAAATGAAATAAAATAAAGGGCTATTGAAATTCTGAAGTTAAAATGAGATCTCGGGAGAGCTTGATGGAGGACAGGCATTTGATCTAGATTTTAAAAAAGGAGTAGAGATTTGTCATGAAGACAAGTCATGACAGGATATTCAGCCTAGAAGTCTAGAGGTGTATATAAGAAAATTGTACTTCTATTTGTGATTATCTAATCTTAGAGGATAAAGAAATGTAAGGCAAGTGTTTGCCTAGTTATAGAAATTTTCCTTTATAGAATATTATTATTTCTTCCCCTTGGAAAAGGGAAGCAAAATCTACATGTGGCATGATAATCCATTGAAATATTAATTTGAGTTTTTTTTCCAATGACGTTGGAGTTGAATGAAGGGAGTATTTTCAAAGGTGTGTGGTTCCACCCTTGAATGTTATCGGAATAACTATAGGTAAATAGAAGAATCCCAAGCATTCCTGACAAGAAATACACATGTATAACAAATACGGATATGGTTTCCTACAAAGTAATATATCTAAACCGTTCCCTTTTGAAAAACTTTAATGCCCCCCTTTTGCCCCCAAAATAAAGTTCGAAATACTTAACCTGATATTCAAGGTCTTCCATCGTCTGTTCTAATCTGCCTTTCATAACTTCCTACCTTATTTCAGAATGGCTCCTAGACTAGCTTGTATTATTTACTGGCAGTAGTTTAAATTCTTCCTACATAATACATATGTCTTAAGAATTCTGAAGACCAATCACTTTAAAAAGTAAAAGTCCAATTAATTTGAATGCTGTGAATAAAAAGAGAATTTTCAGCAATTGTCCAGGCCCTCTATTCTTTCATGTGGTCCAAAGTAAGAAATCCTCATTATATAAAAATGCTACTAAAAGCATAATTATTGTTTACATCAAAACCATAATAATACTAATACTAATACAGTAATACTCCAGAACTAAACAGATGTATAATATTGTAGCTTAAGGATTATAATGATGTTATCTAACACTTTTCCCAGTCCTTTATATCTTTATAGTGAGAACTAAGAAATAAGGCTATAATCTCCTTTTATGAAAGAAAATAACCCTAACAATGACTTGGTAGGTTATATTCTTATATTTAAAAGTAGGATAGTTTTAGAGAGTTAAGAAATGAATTTTCAAGAATTACAGAAAATAAATTATCCACTATGCATTTTTTTTACCTGATATATATTAAGTTTTTTACCTTTGTATTTCTAAAGAATGAAAGATTGGTTCAAGATAAAGCAAATTTCTTTGACAATTCATCCATTCCTCAAGAGTGTAAGAGAAGATCGCCAAGTTTTGATCCCATTCATCCACAAGATCCTACAATGATAAATGCGCATACACAAACTCTAAATATACTAATCTATAAGAGTCATATAATAGAAATTGAGATCAAAGGTGATCATCAGTCATTGGTATTCAGAAAGTAATACAGGGTCACTTAAATGAATATAAACCTAACTACTTTTGGGAGAGGTTTAAAATGTCCTGTTCATCCAATTTTCTGTCTTATTTATTATAAAATATACAAATCTTTTTGTAAAATATTTGAGTAATATGCATATATATATATAAAAATTAACATGAGTGTCTCACGTAATTTCCACTTCTTATCAGAGGAAACATAACCAGAGTTTGGAATGTATATGCTTTCATTCCTTTTTAAACATTTTTGTACTTAACGTACATATACATGCAATATTTTTAATATTTTACATAAACAGAACCATATTATATACATTGTTCTGTAACTTGCTTTTTTTACATAGTAATGTCTTTTAAAAGACTATTTCTAGTTTGTTGTGTTTTTATCATGAAAGGATGTTGGATTCTGTAAAATACTTTTTATGCATCTATTAAGATGATCACGTGTTTTTTATTCTAGGAGTAAAATAAAATAAGAGTTTATGAGCAGCTGTTGTTCTTATTAGGTGCTGTCAAGTTGATTCCGACTTACAGTGACCTTATGTACAACAGAATGAAACACTGCCCAGTCCTGGGCCATCCTCACAATCATTGCTATGTTTGAGTCCATTGTTGCAGCCATTTTGTCAATCCATCTTCTTCTTTTTCACTGACCCTCTACTTTACCAAGCATGATGTCCTTCTCCAGGGACTGGTCCCTCCTGATAACATGTCCAAAGTACGTGAGACGACGTCTCACCATCCTCGCTTCTAAGGAGCACTCTGGCTGTACTTCTTCCAGGACAGATTTGTTCATTCTTTCGGCAGTCCATAGTATATTCTTCGCCAACACCATAATTCAATAATCCAATAAACTGATATTTTTCCCAATATATGTTTTTGTGCTTACGAATAATGTAAATTCTATTTGTTTCTGTCTCTCTGTCTCTACCTACTTATCTAGCTAGCTACATACATTTATATATACAGTCAATTGTGTTAATTTTGCCATTCAACATATCTATATTTTACATTTCTTATTGCGTTTTCTTAAGTTTTTAAATGATTCTTAAGTATGTGATTGGATATAAGGCTTCCCAAAGAGGGACTATCAGGGAACACTGAGCATAATACTGACCCTGTGGTTCAGTTCTTAATCATGCCAGAGTGGAGGCGGAGGCTTACGTTTGTTCCAGCAACAACTCTAAGGACACACTGGTATAGAGGTATAATCAACCTTAAGAGGAATAGCCCAGGAAATGAAAATGAAGCATTCCATTTCAGCAAGCAGAATCTCAAAGCTTTAGCATGGACACTGTTAGAACTGTGGATATTTCTGGCAGCAGTGGCACTGCTGGTAAAATACATGGTTTATAGGGTCATATTTTTACATGATCTAAATTTATCTTGTCCACTCAAATCAAATTTTCTGACATTTTCTCATGAGTAATTAATAATTTTTCCATAAAAATTATTTTTTAATATTCAAAACACTAGTCAATCTCATTTTAAAATAAACATATGAATAACATATAATTTAAAAGCTTATAGAAATGCTAAAACATTTTCCCTTTTTCATAATATTTACCTTAATAGGCCCAAGATAGGAAGATCCTTTAACTGTTGCAAGTATGACTTGAGACTCTTCTAACTGAGCTAATATATCATCTACAGAAGAAATTATTAGGATAGAGCAAGCCTCTGTGTGATGAAGAACCAAATGCAAAGGAGTAGTGTTCCAAAGATCAATAATCTTAAATAACTTCTTTTCAAGAGCAGCTTCATTAGTAGCTGCAGTTGATATTTCATTTATTTCCTCTTCATAGTGAAACATCTAAAATAAACAAATTATTCTTTAACATACAGTGAAGCAAATAATTCCTGACACATTTTATATGAAAATTTACATGCATGCTTTGACGGTCCATCAGTAGTAGTGAAAATCTGATTCCGTTTAGGTTTACATCCTAACGAAAGACTTTATGACTGATCCTTCATGACCTAGCCCTTTTCAGTTTTTAATCATCCTATTTCACATTCTTTATTGAAAATTTCTAATCACAGTTATTTCCTCTTAATCTAGTCAGTGTAGAGAATAGTTAATAGCACCTTCCACATATATGCAGATGGCATTGAGTATTTCCTTCAGCTTTCTTTTCTTTGCAATAATGCCAACTACTAAACTTACTTTGTGACATGATTTACTCTCCATAACAATACCTGGAATATAATCCTCTAAGAGAATGCAACTCTATGGATCCAGCTTTTCAGAGCTTCCCTTTCTTTGCCATATCCCTATAAGAATAAGTGTCTCTCGAAATACATTAGTGGAGCACTGACTGAAAATTCCCATAGGCAAGATTCTGATATAAGATCTCCAGATTCACTTACGGTAAGGGAGATACTCAGGAAGCTTCTCATCTCCACATCTTAGAATTAAGTCGCTGGGCTGACTGTTTTTATCCCTAGTTAAGGAAGGATCTGCCACTGTTCTAATATGTTATCTCCATGGGGTTAAAGAATGATGTCTAACTCCTATGTTTGATAATGCAGTTCAGTGGGGACAATGGTTTTCATCATCTCTCTTATGGGTCTGCAAAGGATGAATATAAGAAATGTGGAATTAGTTGAATTCTTACGGCCTTGTTGTTGTTTTTGTTGTTGTTAGGTGCCACTGAGTTGGCTCCGACTCTTGACGACCTTATGTATAACAGAACAAAACCTTGTCCGGTACTGTGCCATCCTCACATGTTTGAATCCATTGTTGCTATGTTTGAACATACTGTTGCAGCTACTGCATCAATCCATCTCATTGAAGGTCTCCCACTTTTTTGCTGACCTTCTACTTTACCAAGCATGATGTCTTTCTCCAGCAATTGGCCCCTCTTGATGACATGTCCAAAAAAGCGAGATGAAGTCTCACCATCCATCATTCCTTTTCTAAAAAGCATTCTGCCAGTACTTCCTCTCAGACAGATATTTGTTCTTCTGGCATTCCATGGTACTTTTAATATTCTTTGCTAACACCACAATTTGAATGTGTTAATTTTTCTTCCATTTTCCTTTTTCATGGTCCATCATTTGCATGTGTACGAGGCGATTAAAAATATCATGGCTTGGGTCAGGCGCACCTTAGTTATCAAAGTGACATCTTTGCTTTTTAAGACTTTACAGAGGTCTTTTGCAGCAGATGTGCCCAATGCAATACATCATTTGAGTTCTTGACTGCTGCTTTCATGGGCATTGATTGTTGATCCTAAAAGAATAAAATCCTTGACAACTTCAATTTCTTTGCTTTATAATGATATTGTTTATTGGTCCAGTTGTAAGGATTTTTGTTTTATTTTCAGGTATAATCCATACCGACGACTGGAGTCTTTTACTTTCATCAGTAAGTGCTTCAAGTCATCTTCACTTCTGGCAAGCAAAGTTACATCATTTGCATATCTCAGATTGTTAATGAGTTTTCCTCCAATCCTGTCACCATATTCTTCTTCATGTAGCCTATCTTCTCATATTATTTTGTTCAGCACATAGATTGAAAAAGTAAGGGGCGACTTCTGGTCAACATGGCACTATAGACAGAAGCACCATGCCGTCCCTCCATAGCAAAGACCCGAAAAACTAAGTCAAACAGAGACAAATGTCAATCCTGAAACCCTAAGCATCAAATGAAAAGATAAAGAACTCATCCAAGCACCGAATGGAATAAGAAACTGACAGAGAACAGAGAGCGGGGAGAGATATGTGCAGAGGTCCCCTATCAGCTAACACAGCACGGATTCGCCATCTTGGACTCCTGTTGGAGATCAGTGAACAGGGAGTACAGGAAAGCAGCTTCACAGAGCTCCCAGCAGGAGACAGAACAACCGGTAATCAGTGGTACACGCTTTCCCATCTCCCACCCTTCTTCACCTCCACTCAGTCTCCTCTGCTTCCTGTGGCCACAGTCTATTGGCCGGGAGGCACTGGCTTCAGCCCTTTGCCACTTGGATTCCACCTACCCACACTGGCTGGCTCCTTGAGTGCCATTTGTTTGTTGCTGGTGTTGTTTTTTTCTGCTTCTTTTGGTTTCTTCCATACCTCTCACCACTTCCCCCTCCTTCCTCTCAAATATCATGCCGTGCACCATTTTTGCTTCTTCCTGAAAGGCTGTGAAACACCACTTAACGGGGGAACTGTTTCCCAGCCCGCCCCACCAGGCTGGTGGGATCCCCGGGGCATTTTTTGTTTGTTTGTTTTATTTCTTTGTTTTCTTTTTCTTTTCTTGGCTTGGGAGCCCCTGCTAGCTGGGCTGTACTGTGTGGCTTGGGAGCTACTTCCTCAATCTGCCCACCCATGAAGTGGGATCCGTGGGGGGCATTTCTTTTTTCTTTTGTGTTGTTTATTGTGTGTTTTTGTTTGTTTTCTTTCTCTCTTTTTGTCTTTCTTCATTTCTCAGTTTCCTGTCTCTCTATACTTACCTTCTCTTCCTCTCTCCTGAATACCTAGTGCTGTGTCACACCTCTACCCCCTCTATCCAGGCTGTACTTTGTGGCCTGGGAGTCACTTCCCAGTCTTCGCTGCTGCACCGGTGGGATCCCTGCGGGCTTTGCTTTTCTTTCTTTGTTTTTTAATTCTAATTTTTATTTATTTTTCTTTTACCCTTTTTCTGTTTGTTTTTCTCCATTTCTCAGTCTCTCATCTCTCCACTCCAATAGCAAGCTCCCTTAGCACTCTTTTTTGCTGACTCGTTTGTTTTTGGATCCTATTTCTCTGTCCTCTCTCTCCTCTTTCCCATACCTATCTTAGCTCTACACATCACAATCTCCCCCCTCCTTCCTGCCTACCTGCACCGTGCTCTGAACATCACACCCTCGAGCAGCACAGACACAGCCTACCAGAACCTGCCCTGCACTGATTCCTGGCCTGCCCTGTCAGCCCTAGTACATGCCACAAACAACCCATCCCA